CCGTGGGCCGGGTGAGGAGCCGGCGGCCGGGCCGCTGCTATCGGGGCTTTCCCGAGAGCGCTTCGTGTGGGACGCGGCCGTGTCGGGCCGTGCTGAGCCGGCTGCAGTGAGCCGCGCTGGCCGGGAGGTGGCGCTCCCGCTGCCCTGTGTGTACCCCCCCCTTGGGTCGGGTAAAAGTTTTTTATGGCGCGGTTTGTTAATGGTGAGGAATTCTTTGGTGTTTCAGCAAAAGGATCGAAAATCCAAAAAGTCAACCTGGAAGTTTTGCCTTGACTTGACCCATCCTGTGGAAGATGGAATCTTTGATTCCGGGAATTTTGTAAGTGGTTTTGCTCATACTTATGACGCATAGTGTAATAAAAGCCTTAGTGCAGTAACTGAGGTACAGTTGAAAAGCTACATTTTAAATGAGTGAAATCATCAGCTGTACTTTAAAATAGTGTCATTAAAAAAAAAATAAATTGTTTTATAGCATGCTTCATAGCCGTCCATGAATAGAACTGTTTTAAATTAATTTCTGTTTTAGCGCGGGGGTGATTTTTTATAATTACATGCTATGAAGTATTTTTGCACTCTAAATACTTTTTGTCAGGACATAAGTAAATGGTGGTTTTTAATGTTGCTTCCTGACTAGGGTCCCTTCCCTAGTTCATACCTAGGGTGCCATTCCCTAGTGTTCTATTTCTTTAATGTTGGAACAGGAACAATTCCTAAAGGAGAAGGTTAAGGTCAATGGGAAAACTGGAAACTTGGGCAATACCGTTCACATTGAACGTCTGAAGAACAAGATCACAGTGACATCTGAGAAGCAGTTTTCTAAAAGGTTGGTGTGGGTGTCCTTCTGTCATGTTTGTGGGGTTTGAACTGTGGGATGTTGAACATAAAACCAGAGTCATTTAGCTTGGGAAAGATCTTCATGATCATCAAGGCCAGCCATAAACCTGACACTGCCAAATCCATCACTAAGCCATGTCCCATAAACGCCCATTAATATTCAGTTCCTGCCTGCAAAGTGAATTCCAATTAGTGCACTTCTGATACTTGGAGAGGTGTTAGCTCTTAACCTTCATAGCACTTGTAAATATTAGTGAAACATGTAATTAAAACAGATTTATTATATCAGATATTTAAAAATCGCTTTTTAAAACTCAAGGCTTGATTGCTAATTAATGTTGACTCTAAGCATATTAATAGAGACACTTTATTTAGGCCCTAAGAAGTGTATCAGGGGGAGATGGACCTTTAAAATAACACTGAATTAATGTCACGGGTGGCTGTTTGATTATTTAATTGGTTGTGTTATAATGAATGTGTGCATGATGTGGTTTGTTGCAAACAAACCCTTTAAGCCAAATGAAGTCTTAAATTGATCAGTTTGTTAGGACACACAAGAGCTGAGTGCACTGATGAGAGGTACAAATCCTTCCCTGCATCCCCACTTTGTTTGCTGATACAGGTGCAGCAGAATCTGTTATGTTGGACCAAGGTTTAGAACCAGTTACCAATGCTTTCTGGTTCCTGACATTTTACTGTGTAGTCAAATGAATAATGAATTTCTACATATCTGTAGTGAAAATGTGCTTTTATCGCCTGCTATAGTGAAAATGTTCTATTTCTGGGTATAATTACTGTGGTATTACCCTGCTGGTGACATTGTCTGGGGTGGAGTGCAGGCAGCAGCAGGGCTTGTCCAGTGAGAAGCTTCTAACGTGAAATTCCTGGTTTTCAGGTACCTGAAATACCTCACCAAGAAGTACCTCAAGAAGAACAACCTGCGGGACTGGCTCCGCGTCGTGGCGTCCGACAAGGAGACGTACGAGCTGCGCTACTTCCAGATCAGCCAGGATGAAGAGGGGTCAGAGTCTGAGGAATAACTGAACCTTGGTTTTATGCTCAGTGCAGAGTACAAAAGACTAGAACATCTATTTATAAGAACACTTTAACTTATTGGTGAATAAAGATTTTGTACCCTGTTGGACAGAGCATGGTTGGTTTTCTGGTATTTTTCTTAAATTAGTTGGGAAACGGCACAGGAACTGTTTCCTTCCACTGCCAGGAATCTGCTGTTCAGTTGGCACTGGTAAAAGTCCCAGTAGGAAAAAACTTTGTCCCATACATGTGTAGGACAGTTTAATCAATTCTAAATCGTATTGATACAAATAGTTGTAGAGCTTGTGACTGAAAGTACCAACTCTCCCTGTGAATTTATGTGAAGGCAAAGGCAAAATATTTAATACAAGTCTACTTCTCGCTATTTTAGTTTAAAAATAGGCTTGCAGATGGTAAATATTATTTTTTCTGTGATTTTCCTCACTCTAGTTGGTTGTGGTATAACCACAAGTTGAACTGGAGGACAACAAAGATTTGATAGGTTTGTATTAGATGGATAAATAAGGAGGTGGAGACAAACCTGGTTACCAGCAACCAGCTAAAACATCTTAATAAAAGGACTGAAATGTCCTTCAAGATTGACAGTGCTTGAATCCCATAAAATCTATACAGATGTTTTTCCTTTTATGATGTATTTTACAGTTCTTGCATTTGACTTCTGGGATTATTTCTTTAAAATGGGTATTTCTCTAGTACAAGTGGGGAGTTCTTCACTGAAACAAATTCATAACTATGAACTAGTTCTTCATACAGTATCAAGAGAGATTTAGGTTTTCTTGATGAAAATAGTATTTGTGAGACTGCACTTGGAGTAACTTGTATGTAGATGAATTTCAGTGCCATGTAGTCTCCTCTGTGATTAGTCAGAATAATTACTGAAGTTCCAGTGTGCTGGTGAACTTTGGAATAAATAATGCCATATTTGTTCAGTATCATAAACCAGGGATGCCTCTAGACAGATACTGAACTTTGTGCTTGAACAATTCTAGTAGTTGAGGCTGAAGTGTGCCCACTAAATTGTTGGATCTCCTGATGATTTTTTAATTTTTTTTATTACATCAGCACTGTTTTTGCTGGAAAACCTCTGAGAGAATTCAGAGACTTGATAAAACACAAAACAATGCATCACAGTCAAATGGTACCAAATTTTGCTACCTAGATCTAAATAAGAATTGCAGATGGGGAAATTAATTTTGTCAACAGCTTTTTGGGTATCATTTGTTATTTTCCAGTGTGCTTGAGCAGCTGTTCCTGGCCCAGGCAGAGGAGAAGAAGCAGCAGTGGAGTAACAGCTACTTGTGCTGTGTCTGCCTCACTGGTTGTTTAATTTTGCTGATCAGAGGCAGCAAAAGGATGTGAGCAGTGTGTATAACTGGCTACACGACACAGGATGTGTTGGACTTCATATGCTTCAGTGAAAATAAAGCAGCACAAGTCCTGCCCCAGTCTGGGGCACTGGGTAGTGCTGCCTTGGAATTTCCCATTGGAGGAAAACCAGGCAGTGGTGAAGCAACAGTTAGGGGTAGTTTTCTTCTTTTTCTGAAAATCCCAGAGATCACTAATGCTGTTTAAAAACGTTTACAGTACCAGTAATTAATGCTGTGTTGAGCAAGCCACGTTTTTCATGGTAAAGCTGCAAGTATTTCTAAAACTAACCCGTTTTCCTTTGCTACATGAAGTTAAGCAAAGGGCCTGCGCTGCCTTGTTATCCTCTCTTTCAAAGCAGGCTGGCAGCCACGTGTGTGGTTGTGCAGCCTAACAGACACAGATTGTCACCAGTCAGAGGAAAACAAGGCCTGGGATTGCAAGAAAAAGCAATTTATTTCAGAGCTGGGTTTGGAGGAAAACTGCCAAAGTGCTCCTGTAGGTTTGTATTACTCCCTGAGTTTCCTGGAATTCCTTTTCCCAATGCTTGAAAATATTGTTAAACTTTGAAAAAGCAAAATTCTGATAACTCTGGATCTAGAGTACTTAATAAATTTGGTAAAATTTTCCTTTAGATCCAGCCAGGCATTTTTGTTTTGTCCCTGTTGCTGCCCAAGCTCCACTGGGCACACCCACAGCTTCCTGTCCTGGATGCCCTTACAGCTCTTCTGCAGGTAGAACTCTTATCAGGTCATGGTGCATGTATATGTTAGGCATAGAAACCACAAAAGGGGATTTTAAATGTAAATGGAGCTTTTACAATATGACTGTTAAATGTTTAATGGGGAAAACTAGCTGGAGTCTACAGGTGAGACACACCAGGCAACGCTTCAGAAAAATGGTGATTCTTCCATAATTTCATGTGTTTTTGCAGCTGAAGTGGCCAGGTGTGATGCAGGTGGCAGGCAGGAAAGAGAGCTTGTTATTGTTCAAATGTAAATTTATACAAATTACCCAGATTAGAGTTGAAGCAAGGCTTTTTTAAAAGCCAGAGGTCAGTGTTTCTCATTTTAGGTGGGCAATAACTCAGGTAGCTGCTTTGCCAATTTTCTTTTCAACAGAATCTGCTGTTGGAAATCACCAGTTTTGTTCATGTTTATTTTGAAAGTTCAGAGATCCTAAACAGCTTG